GGAATTCTCATCTGAAAAATGGGACTAACCTACTTTCACAGGTTTGTTCTGGGAACCAAATAAAGTACAAACAGATTCTAGCACAGGCTCTTTTGCCAGTGTTACTCAATGTATGTGCTATTAGCATTCTGGATAAAACAATTCTTATGCTCTATGGGAATGTCCCACCAATTGCAAGATGCTTAATATCCCTGATCATCCTCTCTGAAAAATGCCATCTGGGCCTCTGGTCACTGTGCCAATCCGTGAAGGCTTTGTAAAATGATCACACTAAGTATTCTGTTAATGCTGAGTTTCCCCTCTTCATTCCTCTTATTAAAATATATATTCTGGTTTTGTATACTCATTTTTTGAGACTTCATTCAATTATCTTCTCCTTGAGTCCCTAACTTCCAGTGGCTGAGAGACAACATTGTATTTGATGCTCTTGAGGCAACATTAAGGCACTTACACATTGGAAGACATTGCTTATATGTTTCTATGGTCTGCAGACTATTAGCAATCTAAGGGTATGGGCTGTGCTGTTTTTCTTTCAGCATCTAGCACCCAGCACAGTGCCTGATGTATTGCTGGTGCTCAGGATTGTTTGTTGAATTGAGTAGTCCACTGCATATGAATTCTGTGCCCTGCAGCCTTCATATTCTGAGGCAACGTTTCTTTTGGCATCTCATTTTTTCTCAGAACCTTGTCACCTCAGACAACACTTCCTGTACGCAGTCAACTGGCATCAGATTTCTTTGTAATGGCTGCAGAGATGAAAGAGGCTTAATTGTCAAGGGCCTGGGTTAGTTAACCAATCTGAGCAGGAGCCACTGACCATGGGAGGTAACAGTGGTGGTGCTGAATAGGCTGGTCAGTGAGGAGCCTAAAAGGCTTCTGGACTGTACAGACACACTGTGGGGCTATGCTGCAGGAAGATGATTCTGACCATCACACAGGAGCAGAGGTTTAGCTTGCAGATGAATCCCCTCTTGAACTTACTGCAGGCACATCTCCTAATTGATGCTCATTATAGACATTTTCGTAGGTACACTCTTTTTTTTTTTAGGTGAAGTTTCACTCTGTCACCAGGCTGGAGTGCAGTGGTGAGATCTCGGCTCACTGCAAGCTCCATCTCCTGGGTTCATGCGATTCTCCTGCCTCAGCCTCCTTAGTAGCTGGGACTACAGGCACATGCTACCATGCTCAGCTAATTTTTGTATTTTTAGTAGAAATGGGGTTTCACCATGTTGGCCAGGATGGTCTCGATCTCTTGACCTCGTGATCCACCCGCCTTGGATTCCCAAAGTGCTGGGATTACAGGCATGAGCCACAGAGCCCGGCCCAGGTACACTCTTATTTTCATTCATTTCATTGCAAGTTGAAATTATTCTAAAAGATTTTCTGTGTCCTTCTCTTTTCTGCACTTTGACCTGCCATGGAATATATAAATAAGAGAAACAGTTCCCTGTGCTTGTTAGGCAGATCCTGCAGCAGTGCCATGAGCCATGACACAGTAATAAAGACAGGTTTCTAGTGCTCCTGCTGATCTATGTCACCTCCCTCTACTATTTCCCAAACTAGGCATCCCAAATCTGCCCTTCTTGAGACCCCCGCTCTACTACCTTCCTTGCTGCCACTTCCTGCTACATCGCTCACCCTCACAATCTCTCAGCAAATGTGTTGTTTTCTCTATCACAGAGAAACAACAAGCCATAAGGCACAGACTCCCATCTTTGTCTCTGTGCCAAATAAAAATGCAGTTGTAGCTATCATTTCCATTCTGGTGGAAGATGCCTCCTGCACCCAAATCAAGGGTAATCCTTTCACCTAGATCCCAGATCTTCACCTCATTCCTCCTGAAAATTACTATTATTAACACAAACTCCTGGGTTTTACATCCGACTGATTACTTAATACCTCCATGTCGATGTTTAACACATATCACAAACCTAACATGTTTAAAAACAAACTTTTCTAGTTGCTGAGGTCTAAAACTCTTGCTCATCCTTGATTTGACTTTTTTTTGAGATGGAGTCTTGCCTTGTCACCTGGGCTTGAGTGCAAAGGTGTGATCTCGGCTCACTGCAATCTCCACCTCTTGGGTTCAAGCAATTCTCCTGCCCCGGCCTTCCAAGTAGCTGGGATAACAGACATGAGCCATCATGGCCGGCTGATTTTTGTATTTTTAGTAGAGATGGGGGTTTCACCATGTTGGCCAGGCTGGTCTTGCTCCTAACCCCAGGTGATCCACCTGCCTCAGTCTCCCAAAGTGCTGGGATTACAGGTATGAGCTACCATGCCCAGCCAATTTCTCTTTTTCTCTTGTATTTCACATTTAATCTTCCAGCAAGGTGGATTTTCCTTCAAAATTCATGAAGAACAACTGCTTGCTTTCACCCTACTCCAAACTATGTAATTATTTTCTTGCCTGGATCATTGCACTAGCCTTCCAAATACCAACTCCACTTCCATCCTTAGCCCCCTACAATGTATTCTCAACAGCTGTAGCGATCTTGTTAAAACATAAGTCATGCCAATCCTCTGCTCATAATTCCTCCAAACATGTTCTATCTCACTCAGAACAAAGCCAAGCCATCCAGGAGCCTACAAAGCCCTATGATCTGGCACCCATTGCGTCTTGGGCCTCACCCTCTACTGCACTTCCCCTCACTCACATTTCTCTGGCACACTGGCCTGGCTTTTCTTGAACCAGTATCTCCTGTAACTCAATAGATCGATCTCTGATGTGTCAAGGAGCATCATGAATCACAGGTTTCACCACAGTCACAGAAGTCCAATGATACAGCTTCCTACAGGGCACTTATCACTCTTCCAGGCCAGATACAGATGACCAATCAGTGGTCATTTATGCCATAATGTTGCCTAGTAACACAGCTAACATTCACTTTTATCAGGTCTCCAGGGAAACAGACTAGAAAACTGAAAAAATCATAAAATCAAATTCTTCTGCAGAAAAGGAAGGGCCCTGTGGCTTCCTTTCACTATGTGCCTATTGTTCTTGCTGTTCCCTCTGCCTGGAAGCCTCCTTCCAGCACATCTGTGTGGCTTTCTCCTGCACCTCCTTTAATTCTTTGGCCAAAAGTCACCTTTCCAATGAGGCCTTCCCAGGCCATCTTATTTGAGGACTGCAGCTTCTATCTTACCTGCAGGAAACTTCTATTACTCTCTTGGCATGCTTTATTTTTTTCCATTGCCTTTATCATCTTCTAACATATTTACTAATTGATTTTGCTTAATTTGCTCATTTTCCCCATAAAATTTAAAGTCCATAAAGCTGGGATTTTTGTCATTTTTTTCCTTCATTGATAATTCTTAGAACAGTGCCTGATACACAACAGGTTCTTCTACAATTATTTTATTTATGAATGGATTCATTGGCACCCTTTGTTGGAGGGGAGGAAGGCGAAATATTTTCAGGGACCAAATAAAAGACAGCATGATGTGAGGGACTAAGAGCTGGAACTTGGGAACCAAATTGCCTGGACTGAATAAAGGCTTTGACATTCACATTGGGAGGATCCTTAACCTCTCTGTGCCTCACGTGTCTAATTTGTAAGTGGGGATAGTAATAGAACCCACATCTTAGAGTTATCATAAGGATGACATTTGTTAAAAATGCATGTACAGTGATCAAAAGAACTCCTGACACATGGAAAGCAGGGTGTGTTCACTATTTTTAAGGCCAACTTTTAAAAGTCCTTTATTTTCACTCTGTACCACTTCTAGTAATTTCTCTCTCTCCATAAACCCCCTCTTCCAGCTGATCTACCTGAAAATCACGTCTACCCCATAGCTTCTATAATATGTTGATTTCCATTGACTTTTCCAACCACCGACGTAAGATTTTTAATGACGTAGTTGCTACTTTTCCATGAGTTAGTTGTGTGGCCTGCCATCACTGTCCATGGCTTGAGTTCTGACACATGCCTCTCTCCTGGTTTCGACCTGTCCTTATGGCTGCCCCTTCTCAGTCTTCTTCAAGGGCCCCACTTCCTTCTCCATTTACTCTTTAATGTTATTACTGACATTGTCTTCCTCATCACATTCTCCCTGGGTGATTCCATTCGCAAGCATGGCTTCAGCTCTCATGTCAACACCCCATATATGCCAGTCCTACTGACAGTTTCCCAAAGATGGCATGCTCTTTCTCACATCCGTGACTTAGAGCTTTCTTTTCTCCTCTTGGTGTTCTCTTACTTTCAGCTAAGAAGAGGTTCTTGACTAACTTTAGCTGGTTCTCCAAGTTTTAATTCAACCATCACCTTTTCTCTTATTCACAAACCAAAGTGAGGGTTTTTCTTCAGCACTCTCTTAGTGCTTTTTGGACACCTCTATCATAGTATAACACAATTTATTTTGATTGCTAGTTTATTTATTTCTCCCCTAGAAATGAACTATTTATATGTATCCATGTCCTCAAAATATGGTACCTGGAACACAGCAGTTATGCAAAAAAAAAAAAAAAAAAAAAAACACCTGGATTCAATACATAAATACATAGCATCTATATAATTTTTTATTGTTTTTTTTTTTAAATAAATTCAGAACTAAACATTCAGTAAAATAATGATATCTTATCAAAATGTTAGTTTTTGCAGAAAATCTTATTGGGGTAATGGTCAAAGATGAAGAAAAGCAAAAAGTTCCACTTGGGCAATATAAATGGTGCTGGATATATGCTATATTTCACTGCGAAGCCAATTTTGAAAGAAAAGGGTCCCCCTTTAATGTTAGTGACATCAGATGTTATTTGACTACAGTCAAGTGCTCTTTGGGCTCATTAAAATCATTCAAGTACCATTAAATCATTCATTTACCTTATTAGAAAAACCCAGTAAATAGGTGTTTCAGGCTTCCTGCTATGATCACAAATACACTTACAGAGAACAGTGACTAATACTTACACGGTTAAAAATTATACAGCCAGTTCTCTAAGGAGGTTTCTTTGACCTGTGTCTTGCTCTGGCCCTCATTTTGCCAGGGGTCTAGGCACCTACCTGTAAAGTACATCCAAACACGCCGATCATGAGCATGGCTACTGACAGGTAATCCGTAAACACATCCCACCATGGCTTCAGCACTCGGAAGGCAGGTTGCTGTTCAGAGAACTGCCGGAATTCTGTCACAGGAATCATGTTTCTGAGAAAAGAGAGATTTCTCATAAATTAATTTATCTTCAAGTGCAACATACTGCATTGTTAACAAATGTGGCTCCAACTCCTCACAACAGAGGTCTGAATTAGTGCAAGAGTTGTCAAGACTCATCAATGTTCCAATGAGCCACTGAATAAAACCACCAGTCGAGGAAATAAGGAGACCCAAGTGGAAAAGGCAAGTACTTTACTTGTCTTTTATTGCCCAATAACAAGGTTCTCTTTGTGCTCCACGTGGGACAGAAAGAACATGGCCAGACACTCGCCAAGTATCAGTTATTTTCTGGACCCTCATTTATCTTAAACAGAAAATGAACATACCAGGAGAACTCGAGCCCATTCTTTGAAATGTTTTTGCTATTTATCCTACCATCTTGGGTTACTGCTTTAAGCTATTTTTTTTTTTTTTTTTGCTTTAAACTATTTTTAAGTATAATTTTAGCATTCATTTGTATTAATTCTTTATTGAGACCTATTTATAAAGCATTTTGCTTGTTCCATGGGGAAGGAAAACAATGTTTCCATGTGGTCCTTGTCTTTTAAGAAGAAAGATCTTATTGATGGTGGTGGGTTGAGGAGGCCCCAAATTTTCTTCCTTGTTTCCTTTTTGTCTCTGTGCTTCAATCTTTTTTGTATGATTTTTTTCTGTTTCCTGTACTTCTCACATTTTACTGTGAACCCCAAACGTATCCCATATCCTACTTTTCTCCTCTGAGACATCAGTTTACTCTGCAAACTCCTATCTCTAACCAAATGACAGAAGGTAAATGAAAAGGGCACACTCAAGGCTCTGGGAAAAGAGAAAAGAGGCACATTCTTTTCTTCTTGTCCTGGCTCCTCCTTTTTTCTCTGCCTTTAGTGTGACCCAGGAACTGAGGTTAATCATCCTGCTACTGTGAGAATAAAAATTATTTCTTTACCTTATGGCAAGGAATAAGGGTGGCCAAGGAGGGCCAAAAAAATTTCACCTTGCTTCCCTAATATTGAATTAAGAACTAGATAGACAATAAACATCCCAGATAAAAGCAAAGCCTCTTCTTTGATTACAGCTTTGGCAACGATTACAACGTTACCTATTCTGTCTTGCTGCTTTGTGACTTCTTCTTCTTAAACAATAATTTGTCTTCTTTTTAAATCTGTTCTTTAATACAATGTTAAAAATTTCAACTGCCTGGCAGTGTTCTCCCCTATGACCTACCTACTTGACATCTGTGCAGAATACAGTTTCCTCATTTTACTGAAACACAACTTTTCTTAACTCCCTTCTGTTACCACCAGTAGGCTGCAGGTTTCTTGATGGTAGAATCTACATGTTCTGCCTATACGTTTCCTTAAAACGTGTTAGAGGCAAATGGCACAAGCTCAATAAATTACTTTGTATCTTTCTAGTGTCATTAAAATTTTAGGCTAGCCCAAACTTGGATTTTCCTGACACTGTATGGCCTCTTTTATTCTCAGTAAATTATTACAGTCCCACTGCTCCAAATATTTGATAGTCACAGTTGTCTCAGTGGCAGTAAGAACGGCATAAACTCATCTTGACTTCCACCTTCCACTTCAGAAGCTACTGTCTTACTCTATTTTGCATCCCCATTACTTGCCATAGTGCCTGAAAAACAAGAAACTGAACAACTGTTGACTAAATGAATAAATTCAGATGCTTATTCATGAAGCAATGTTCATCCAACTCAGATTTAGGGTGACCCTAATCAGCTGCAGTGGCGGGGATAATTAGCAAACCACCTGTGTTATAGTCTATTGTTCCTTGATAGATTTGGTTGTTGTCTCCTCCATGATAAGTTTCCTTACATCATAGAGGAAATTGGACTTATTTATAAAAGTGAGCAACAATTTCAGAAATAAAATGCACCAATATAGAGCAATGGCTCTCAAACTTTTTGGTCTCAGGAGCCCCTTATACTCTAAAACAATGAGGAGAAACCCAAAGTGTTTACATGGGTTATACCTATACATATTTACTATACTAGAAGGGAAAACCAATAAATTTAAAATATATATAATTTATTGAAAACTAAACTCATTCACTAATATATATCATTATGAAAATAACCATATTTTCTAAAACAAAATTAGTAGAACGATGAAATTGTTCTACAATTTTGCAAATCTCTGTAATGCCTGCTTAATATAAAAGACAGCTGAATAGAAGACATATCTGCTTCTGCATTCAATCTAGCGTGATATGATATGCTGTTTTGTCTGAAATTTCAATCTATTGTGATATGTTGTTTTATCTGAAATTTATGCACCAAACATGGCCTCACAAAGACGTGGTTGGAAAACGGAAGAGTGTTCTTTTTATAGCATTGCAGATATTTATTTTTAAGAGTATACTAAACCTTGACTAAATTAGTTGCAATATGAAATTTGGAAACTATATCAAAGAGCTTTTTAAACTTCATTATATTAAAATTAATTATTCCATCTTATACTTTGAATGGATTTTTTTTACATATTCATGATTTTGTAACATCATGCATTGGTAATTTGGAAAACATTGGATCATGGAGTTATGCAGATCTTCCAAATGTTGACACATTTCATCATAATAAAATATTAAGACATATTTTAGTAATAATATTTTAAAATCACATTCATTAATATCACCACTATCATCAGAAAAATGTTTAAGTACTGGGAAGCTGTCAAGCTCATGACAGTGATCACAAGTTTTCCAAAATTCTAATTATCACTTGAAAGTTTCAATTTTATTGCTGTCAACAAATACTATTAGTTGTTCTCCTTGAAGTGTCAGGATCACTTCATTCATTTTGAGGATATATATGCCACATACTCAAGTCTCAATAATCAGTTGTTTTATTAAAGTAAAAGTAGTATAATGTGATAAAGTAAGCTCATCCTACTTTCAACTCCATTACAAAAGAGCTTTCTCTTGAGACAACCATTGCACTTTGGAATGCAGCAAAAGTGCTTTGTGTATTATTCCCATTTCATCATGTAGTGTATTAATAAAACATGCAGTCAGAGGTTGAGAGTTATTAAAACAATAAATTTTGCTGCCTCAATAAGGACAGTAGGTGAACCTGGTTTTTTAATTGCAAGTGTGTACCAGTGAAGAACACAATTCCTTCAGCACAGTCTCATGCCTCCATCTTGAGTAACGTGAAGATGCCTTACTAACAATGGCTTTGCACCATCAATGAAACAGGCAAAAATCCCTGAGCATTATAAAATAGTTTTGACCTCATGGGGTCCCTTAGAAAGGTCTAGGTTGCCAGGCTTCCATGGACCACACTTTGAGAACCACTGAGGCAGAGGGTCACTGTTCCTTTCTTTATCTAAGTCTTGCTTTGAAAAAGCAAAGACCTGGATATTCACAATAGGTGAGGTTCTCTGAGTCCTTGCCTGAGTTGCCTCACAGGCCTCATGCTTTTAATATGGGAAATAAAGTCAAACTAAGGCATCTAAGAAATGTAAGTATTATTTATTGCTTCTTAATATTGGTATAGTCTAGATAAGACGGAATATAAGACTCGATAGGGAATCAGCTGGTCAAGATGGCAAAGTTTAGTGCTGCAACACAACTATTATTGCACTTAAACTCTTTTGAGTAAATGTGTATGTGTATGTATGTCTACATGTCCACATATATATATGTGTATCCTACATATAAATATATATACAGATTGATATGGTTTGGCTGTATCCCCACCCAAATCTTGTCTTGGATTGTAACTCCCATAATCCCCGTGTGTCAGGGGAGGGACCTGGTGGGAGGTAATTGAATCATGGGGGAAGGTTTTTCCAATGCTGTTCTCATGATAGTGAATGTCTCACAAGATCTGATGGTTTTATCAAGGGCAGTTCCCCTGCACACACTCTCTTGCCTGCCACCATGTAAGATGTGCCTTTACTCCTACCTTCCACCATAATTTTGGGGCCTCCCCAGCCATATGGAACTGTGAGTCCCTTAAACTTCTTTTTCTTTATAAATTACCCAGTCTTGGGTATGTCTATTAGCAACGTGAGAACAGACTAATACACAGATGTATAATATACACATATTTTATTAAATTAACATATTACAAGGCCCCAAACCAATATCTAAAATGGTATTAATCCTTAATGTATTTGACGCAAAAGGTGAGTAAGGGAGGACTTGAATAAAAAACTACAAATCTAAAGACAGGGTAGGTATACCCTTTGCTTGCTTAATGAAAACATTTTTTTGTACTCCTCTTTCACAACTTTCAGTTCCTCTGAAAATCCATGCATTCCAGTGACAGCCACACTTGATCAATTTTTCTTTCATTCCCACTGTCATTTCCAAGTGATTTGTGACAATTTCAAGAGTTATCATTTTAAGTTAAGGGAGCCACTTCTGAATAAACTACTGGGTTTAAATAGGGAGCTAAAGATCAATCAGCATAATTTTATTTCTAGTTAAACATTTTCCTTTTTTAGAAATATAAATGATTATGTTTATACCTCCTCCAACTTTGATTTTCAACTTACTACAAAAGATTTTAATTTACCTTATTAGTAATGTATTTGGAAGTCTAACATTTTAAATTAAATCAAGAGATTCTGGTATCCTAATTTTTAAAAGGAAAAATATCAAATCTCTGTTTCTGTAACCTTTTGCAGACATTCATATGCATTTCCTTATTTAAAATTCTTATCATAGGCTGGGTGCGGTGGCTCATGCCTATAATCTCAGCATTTGGGGAGGCCAAGGCAGGTGGATCACACTTGAGGTCAGTAGTTTAAGACTAGCCTGGCCAACATGGTAAAACTCCATCTCTACTAAAAATACAAACATTAGCCAGATGTGGTAGTGTGTACCTGTAATCCTACCTACTCAGGTGGCTGAGGCAGGAGACTCAGTTGAACCTGGGAGGCAGAGGTTGCAGTGAGATCGTACCACTGCACTCCAGCCAGGGCAACAGAGTGAGACTCTGTCTCAAAGAAAAAAAAGAAAAGTATAAAACACCTGACACTAATCAACTACCAAGTCAAATGTCCTGTGGCCATCTCCAGACCAAAAAAAAAAAAATTATTAGAAAACTATTTTAAAAACTATTCTAGTGGATCCACATTCAACATAACTTTATTCTCAAAGATATATAATATTTTGGTAAAGAATATTGGTAAAGTTAGGTATAAACATAGAGTTTATTTATATGGCTCTTCATAAAATAACATGTCCTCATCCCTGCCCAGGATAATTTTAGTATTCTTGTCTAGAATTAATATCATAGAATGTATTCTGCTCTGTCAATCCATGGCCTAAAGAATATGAAACTTATTCTAGCATGATTCCAACATGACTGCTAACACTCTTCTACGGCTATCAGGTGGGTAGAGCTAACATTTGTTTTGTTCCACATTTTTCTGACATCAGATAAACAACATCATTCAAGGAAACAAGAACCAATTTCAAATGATGGTAGGTATCCTGTCAGTAACCCAGTGAGTGGCCCTGATCAAAATAATATAAAACAATTTAATAATTCCTGAGCACACGAAATAAGAATTCAACAGAAAAGAAACCCATGTGTGTTGCTCATCTATGTTGTTAAATCCAGTGGTCAGTTCTCATTCCTTATCTTTTTGTTGTTGTTGTTGTTTTTGAAGACAGGATCTGGTTCTGTCACCCAGGCTGGAGTGCAGTGGTGCAATCTTGGCCCACTGTAACCTCTACCTCCAGGTTCAAGCGATTCTCATGTCTTAGCTTCCCAGGTAGCTGGGACTACAGGCGTGCACCACCATGACTGGCTAATTTTTATATTTCAGTAGAGACGAGGTTTCATCATGTTGGTCAGGTCTTGAACTTCTAGCCTCAAGTAATCCACCCACGTCGGCCTCCCAAAGTGCTGGGATTACAGGCACTGAGCCACCACACCAGGCCTTTCATTCCTCATCTTATTATGAGCAACATTTGACATAATTTGACCATGCCTCTCTTGGCTTTTAAAGGACACCACAACCTTTTGGTTTTCCTTCTACTTCCCTGGATGTTCCTTCATTGTTTCCTCCTCTTCTCCCTGACCTCTTATTTTGGAGCATCCCAGTGCTTAGTCTTAGGGCCTTTTGTCTTCTCTAATGCTTTCACTCCCCTGATGATTGCATCTGACCTCAATGTTTCAATGCCATCTATACTTAACACTTGACAAATTCGTATCTCCATCCAGACTTACAGATCACTACCTACTCGACATCTCCTCTTGGATATCCACTACACACATCAAACTCAGTCTGTCCAAAACCAGCTTTTGTCCCAGTCCCCTATTCCCCATCCCCACAGCAAAGCCCTTCTCCACTTACAGTTTTCCTATTCAGTAAATAGCAACTCTATCTTTCCAATTGCTTAAGCCACAAATCTTGGAGTCATCTTTTACTGCTTTGTCTCATAAAATCACATGCAGTCCATCAAAAAACACTTATGTACTTTCTTTCTCTCTTCGCTCTCTCTTTCTTTCTTTCCTCGAAATTTCACAATTGTTGCCCAGCCTGGAGTACAATGGAGCCATCTTGGCTCATTGCAACCTCTGCCTCCTGAGTTCAAGTGATTCTCCTGCCTCTATCCCCTGAGTATCTGGGATTACATGCATGTACCAACACACTTGGCTAATTTTGTATTTTTAGTAGAGATGGGGTTTCTCCATGTTGGTCAGGCAGGTCTTGAACTCCCAAACTCAGGTGATTCACCCACCACAGCCTCCCAAAGTGCTGGGATTACAGGTGTGAGCCACTGCGCCCAGCCTTGTGTTTCTTAATGTATTGCATCTCTACTTCCACAAGAATGCAAGTTTCACAATGGCAGAACTTCGCTTTTCAGTTCTATTGTGTTCATCGATATATTACACTTACCTAGAAAATAATGCTTAGCATGTATTAGATACTCAGTGTTTGATGAATAAATGAGTGAATATGTAGTAGTTTTCGTTAAGAAAGCAGTATATAATTGCTTTTAGCTTTAGAAATAATAATTGCAAAAAGGAAAGTATATGTCTGAGCACTGTCATGGTAGGAGAATCCCACATGCAGGGCCGGGATATTAGCCGAAGCCAGTGTGGAGGGCAAAAAAGGTAAGGAACAGAAATGCCATGATTTTAAATGTATGGGTTCTTTTCAATTGTACCCAAAGCCTCCACAAATCAAAATAAAGTCATCAGGATATGCTGAAAACATCAGTTATAAAACAAATTGCTTTTCCTTTGGCAGTGGAAAGATGGAAATAAAAAGCAGGAGAAAAAAGGCAAAATTTCCCAATTACATAAAAATTATACCTTTCTCCCTTGAGGGAGCATGACTGTAGATTGTGTTTTATTGTACAGTTGTGGCATTCATGACAAAATATTTCTAGAAAAATCCACTGAAGCAGAACATAATTATATGGTTCTGTAGAAATGTATTTAATTAAAAGAGAAATCATAAATGAGTTATATTCAGTCCAGGCCCCTTACTTTACGGCTAAAAAACCTGAGCCAAGAGAGATCAGGTGACTTGCCCAAGGAACACAGCTAGTGGTGAGCTGTAACTTTTAACAAATCTTTTTTTTTTCTCTCTAGAGCTCTTTGCTCATACCACATGATGCTGACTGGCACTGAAAGAAGTTAAAATGTACTAAGAAACAAATAGTTTAAACAGAATATTTCCTGTACTCAAATTTCTCTTTTCTTGTTTGTTATTTGACAATACAAAAGAAAAAAGAAACTAACATTAACACATTTAAATGATTCTTAAGATATACTGTCCTCATAGCATCATAAAATGTTAGAACTTTTGGCTTAAAGGAATCTTAAGAGGTAAGTGGAACTTGCAACCCGATGAATACTTCTATCTTATCTCTTCCTTGGATATCTCCATGCTATTGTATGTTCAATTAACAGGCCAATTACATTATTTGGAAAGTCTTCAAGTTGAGCTTAGCCTATTTTTCTAAGGGTGTTGGTGGGGGTGGCAAAGTACTTCTACCTAGCAATTTTAGTTCTCTCTTACACAACGAGGATATTATTCCTTTGTGTTTATACTCTTCACATATTTAAAGAAGAATCCTTTTAATTGTGGGTACTTCAGGCTATACATTTCAAGGCCTTTGCTTTACATGATAGTTTCCACAGTTATCTATATTATTGCAGTCATAGATCTTTGAATCCACTAAGAATTTATGATCAGTAGCTGCTTTCTTCCTCTCACAAGCATAATTCACTTTCATTCACTCATGTGCTTGCTATAAATTATGAGGGAATTGTATGCCAGGCTCTGTGCTAGGTGCTGAGAGAATCCGTCACCCACATGTACACTCATGGGAGAATATTCATTGAAGAAATTCCTATAAAAACATGAATTGAAATTCCTTTGTAAATGGGATTATTGTTTCCTGTGCCAATGGTGCATTTACAGAGGTTGTTACAGTATTTCTATTTCACCAAGGATAGAATTTATATCTTACCTTTGTATCTTCAAGAAAGCAGCACAGTGTCTTAGAAGCAGCACTCAAACACATTTGTTATACTGAAATCAACTTATCCATGCTTATCATCCGCACAGATAAACACGCACCCAATCAAGCATTGTAGTAAGGACCAACTTTCATTATATTATCATCCCCTAGGACAGACCCTGACATTGTAATAAATAAAGGAGAGACTATTACCAAAAAGCTCCATGTTGTAAA